TGACAGTCACACGAGTAGTTCCCAGGCTTATTGATACACTTTTGCTGACATTTGTTTGGTCCACTGCATTCATCAATGTCTTCAAGAGAAAAGCAGGGGTAATTTTTGAGGATCTTAAATATGGAATCACTTTAACATTGGTAAAACATAGGTATGGAGCTTATCGTTACAAATAAACTTATCGCATTACGAAGCATCTCAGCCTTCGACAACAGTTTAAAAGCTGAGGGAAATCGAAGAAAATTAGATAAATCTCCGAATTTACAAATCACCGAGTGAAATTGAAGAAAAATTGTCCTCATAATAACAGGGATTGATTGTCAGTAGAGGTTTGTTCTGTTTGGGTTTCGATCTGTTGGGAAGGCTCCTTGTGTCGAGGACCTTGCTATGCGCGTGGCGTGTTTTGTCGAAGGTTTGTTATTATCCTGGGTAGGTTATTTGGAGGTTCTTTTCCACACCTTTTACAATCATTGCACTGAAGAAGATCTTTCACAAAATAAGAATCTTCATTATTGTAAATTTTCGATGTGGAAACGGCAATGTATGATCAAAATATAGCTTCTACAGAAAGGAGCTACATGTCGAGTGACATTAGGAGAGGTTACCTACCAGGACATTGACGTCCAGAAGTATTGTATCCCGGATCACAAAAACAGCTATAGCTTCCTGCAGTATTGTTACAGTGATGCTGACAGCCGCCGTTGTTCGTAACGCACTCGTTTACATCTGTTGATACAAGGAAAAAGGCGTATACCCAAATTCGTTTTAATACCAAATGAAACCACATGATAAAGAATAAATTGTCAACTTTGGGTCCGACACTTACTGTAGCATTCGCAGTAAAGAATGGAACAGCAAAGCTATTTGCATGGCCAAGCAAGAGTGCAAAAACTAAAGCGGACGTGCGCATGCGCCCCACACTTTTTTTCCGATTCACTCGTGCCTGGGTTTCAAGTAACTGTCTGACAAACTATCAAATACCGAAAAAGCCAGGTCTCTCACCAGATCTACATTTAGGCCCCTGCCATCCAGAGGTGCACTGACATAGTTCTGGACTGATGCATCTTCCTCCGTTCTGACATCCACCAGTGCATATTGCTAAAACGAGAAAAAAAGAAACAAATGTAGTTTAATTGCATGGATGCTTTGCTGTGTGTGATAAGAAGTAGGACTCGTCATATTTCTATTTTCACAACAAATTACCAAAGTCAGTGTATTGGTTATGTTATTGCTTTATCGAGTATTCTTATTTCAAAAGGGTATTCATAACCCTTTGACCCTCAAGATCTGATTGTCAATTCTCCCTACTAGCTACCAGACACTCCCTTGTAAATTAGTTTCGAGAATTTGGTGTTAGATCAAGATATTAACTCCTACTTGATAAGTTTGAGTATTCACATGACCTGTCTGCTGGATAATGTTTGGATGGTATAAGGAGAAATTGCATGTTAATCACTTCTGGGAGTTAGAAGGATAATTAAACACTGCTGTCCTTCATTGCTAAACACGTATACCTTTAGTTTTTTCCTGCTTTAAAAAAAATCGTAGTCATTTACACCTAAGTAGGGCACGATTGATTCCTTATTCCCATCAGCAAGCTATATTAATCGCTTTTTGAAATTAAATGATACAAAACATACGTATGGTGCATTCGTCGCCGTTTGCTTTCCATCCTACCGCACAGTAGTAGATTGGTTTTTGTCTTGCCTCGCTCCTGGTAAAACTTCGAATTACAGTTTTGTATAGGGTTCTGTGAGAGAAACGAGCAAAATTTGTTCTTCTTTATTTTGCAGCTAATCAGGAGATTCGTCTTCTAGAAGCTAGACCCAGGGAAACGTAGGCACAAAGATAGCAGGTAGACACAGAATGGACATCAAGGCAGAGAGAGAGAGAGAGAGAATGTGTTTTTCTCAAACACAGATAACAAAACACTCCCACAGACAGAAATACAGCTACTGTATACGAGTATACGAGCAGCATCAATTTCCTCTGACAATTTTAAACGAAAAAGTGTCTTCGATTCTCTTCTTATTCAGATGTTGCATGTCAAGGAGAGTTTTGAACATTTTCAAACTTCTGTTACACAAGGCAAACAGTTAAAATAACCTCACCGACATCTCCTGCAGTTCCAGCAGCCCCAGGAGTACTCCTTTGTACACGTTCGGCCATTTGTTGTTCTGACAGCCCTAGAATATCCAACACTTACGTAGGTCGTTACCCATCTGGTCAGCACGTTACGACTATCAGGTTAAAAAAAAACCCAACACAAAGCAAAACAAAATCAAACAAACGCAGAAAAGATAGATGGTAGATGCGTTATTTAATGTTGAAAATACATTTTCAACTGTGATTCTACACAAACTGCATCAAATAGTTTACAGAGATGCTACGATACAAGAAAAGGTTTGATGAAACAATTAGAGAATAAAAGACAACGAAAATGAAAAAAAAATGAACGAAAGGCGTAATTTTTTGTGAAAACTGTGGTGCTACGTCGGAGGGGAAGAATAACAAGATAATTTGGTTTTATCAATTGAGTTGATGACGTAAATTGACCACCGTAGATAGTTTCTAAAGCTGACGTTTCGTTTCGAGTGTCAGCCCCTCGGCAGATTGAATGACAGAGGGCTAACGCTCGAAACTTTAGCTTTAGAAACTCTCTGCGGTGGGCCAATTTACATTTTTAACTCAGATGATAAAACCAAACTATCTTGAATTCACATGATAAGATGTCTGAAACAACAGCTAACGATTACATTTTTACCGACAGTAAATATCTGGAAATTGGAGTCATTCACCGTAGTTCGATAATCGACCACCGGTAATGCTATGATAAACTCTGTGGGGCGTGAACTGCCTCGCGACCTTTCGGCGACAAACAGCTCTACCCGGGAGATCCTGTTTCAGCTCCTGTTTATTTGCGTTTTCGACAACAGTTGAGTCACACGCGAAGATTGGAGAAATCCTAATGTTATCAAATTTCTACTTTATAACTCGTATGTGACTTATCTATCGATCATAACTCACCCTCCAGCCCTTAAACTTGTGGCATATCCGGCAAATACTACCAAAAATAGGATTCGTAAAAGCAGTGAGCCCTTGATCATCATCTCCAAGTTAACAGGCTGTATTACACCAGAGGCTCTGCAAAATGGAAGATGAAAAACCAAATTTATTGAAGTAAAATCCATTTCCTGCATTTATAAAAAGCCACGTCACCAGAGGCTCCCATCACTTCATAAAAATGCTCAAAACGCGGATATGAAACTAAAAGGTTCCTTGTTTGGTTAAAGGAAGCCACGATACATCACGATATTCCGTGACTAAGAATGCAGATTAGCCTCTTGCCTTTCTTACTTCGTGACCGCGGTTCGCATGGTCGCGCAAATAGCCACAAAAATAGATTTTACGCCAAAGGCGTTCAACGGTTAATTATTTGACCTCATCTTAGCAAGACAACGGAATGACTTCTTGAGTTATGATGATACAGTCTTAAATTGATCTGTTTTACGATTTTTTTTCCATCTAATTCTATTTGTTTTAGACAAAAGCAGAACCATCTTATTACGGTTACACAAACAGAGCGCGACTCTAATTTCCATTTCAGTGGAAAAATATTCAGACCTCTACGGTCATTGTTCGCTTCAGCGAATCTGGGGCAGAAGGGAACCGGAATAGATTCGACGAATTCGTGAAAGCCGCGATACTTCTGCAACACCTGGTTTTTACGCCAAAGGCGTTCAACTGTTAATTATTTGACCTCATCTTAGCAAGACAACGGAATGTCTTCCTGAGTTATGATGATACAGTCTTAAATTGATCTGTTTTACAATTTTTTTCCATCTAATTCTATTTGTTTTAGATAAAAGCAGAACCATCTTATTACGGTTACACAAACAGAGCGCGACTCTAATTTCCATTTCAGTGGAAGAATATTCAGACCTCTACGGTCAGTGTTCGCTTCAGCGAATCTGGGGCAGAAGGGAACCGGAATAGATTCGACGAATTCGTTAAAGCCGCGATACTTCTGCAACACCTGGTTTTAGCAGCTGGGTCACAATTGTTACCGACTCAAATTATTGCAACACTGATGAGTATTCCTTGTTTTCCCCCAGATCCCGTGGTTTTCATTCAGATAATCGTTCAAAATAAATCTCTTTAACTGGTTGTGAAAGGTCATCTTGTGTCGAAAAATAATGAGTTAAATGGATCTCCTAAGTATCGCATTTTGTCGTGTCGCGTTATCAAGAAATCTTTTTGATGTAATCTTCCTTCAAGATCTCTTCAACATTACTTTAAGTTATTAAGCTTGATGCGAGAATAACGTTATTTCCTCATGTCAAAATTTCTTGTTAAAATGTTCATTATTAGCCTTACCGCTCTTCCAGAGGCTCGCGATAGTTTTTAATAATGGTAAGCTGGGAGGGTTTCTGCTTTCTCTGTTTTCCCTGCACTTACACTGTCGGCTCCAAAAAGGGGGTCTTACGTGAACTTCGCCGTTTGGACAGCTGTTTGAACTGGGGCGTTTAAGGTTTTTTTCCCTTAAATAAGCCAGATAGGTCATTTGAATGCGAAATACGCGGAAGAGATTATTAGCATACTAAGAGCATACAGTATGGGTTGAAGCGGATGTCAGATGTAAATGTTCCGGTATAAATTTGGCCGATCAGTTCCGCGTTTTTGTTTCAGACATGCCTCAGGTCATAATGAAACCAACATTGACCTCCATAAAGTCATTCCATGACTTGACAATTTTAGGCATATTTCATGTAGGGGAAGGGGGGTGGGTTAGGGGGCTAGGGGGGTCGGCTAGGGGGTAGGGGGGTCCTGGAGAGACCATGATACCCTTTCTTGAAATGATTCCTTTTTAAGTCGACAACGTCAAACCTAATAACTCAGGTGTTGAAAATGTGCAAATGCGGAGACTCTACTCGGCATATCTCACTCGTTACTCATTCAGCAAAATATCTCTATAAGAATAACAGAACGTGAATGTCGACATGACAGTCGGGTAGGTATCCTGAATGTGACACGGTGCAACCCCACCCCAACCCCCCTTTTGAAAAAGTTTACTTGTGCCCTTGTTTGTCAAGTTATAGCGAAGTTCCCTCACACAGGAAAAAAACCCTGAAATAATCAGTTGCCAGGGTCGAAACACATCAAAGTTGTAAAAAAAAAAACAACAACAACAACAGGGAAGAGAATAGTTCAGAATGGAGAAGACTGACACGGATTATAAACAGAAAAAAAAATCATGCAAAAATCTAAGGAAGCTTTCTTAAGATGAACATTTAGCGTTGAATATAACATATTTACGGTATAGAGAGGTATAAATGTACGATCTGGATTGGCTGTTTATCATCACATGCAAATATGAGTATCGAAAGTCTTGCGAATTGCTTACCCGAGTTGTGTACGGAAAGCGAGACTCCTACGAATAGTGGAGACAAGGGATATAGATGCGAAACAAGCAATGACGTCTTAATTAGGTGTGGAAGGATTGCACACCTTAAAGAAAAAAAAACAGAAAAGAAAACGCTATCATACTGTTTTAGTCGTCTGGGTTTTAAGAATAATTAATAATATTTTCATCTTTCTTCATACCGGGGTCAGTTCGAATCAAACTGTCGGAATGTGTTCACTGTGTATGTTTGAGACTCCCCCCTCCCCCACCAATATAAGTGAGTCCCCCTACCCCATCCCCGTAAGTGATTCGTTGGTTCTCATAAGATGTGTTCGCGAAACAAATAAACATCAACAAGAAAAATCCATCGCCGTTCATGAGCGATGGCTTGTAAAATTTGCGCTCGCTTTTCAAGTCATTTGTCTCTTATATGATACTAAACAGGATGTTTCAATGCAATCTTTCGAACTTTTTTAATAGATTCTCTATTTTTATCAAATCTATACAGGAATATTTCAAGGAGCAGTCATCATCAATCACCTGCGGGGCAGGGTCGGAGTATTTTGGTTGAGTTACAATAAAGTTGACCTTATACCCCATAACGCTCAGTAGTATTCTTTACTGCCATGTGACAATGATAAATGATGACTTACTGAAATAAATGGAGCACATGCGGTTCCGGTTCTAACTCCACACTTCAGCAAAGTATTCAAACGAATATGATTTATTTCTGTTAAGAGGTATCGAACGGTTCTGAATATATTTAGCTGCATGTACAGTTTGTATAGTCGCCGCTCCTTTCATTTTCGCAAATTGTGCTTCGTAATTATTTTTTGCACGGAAAAGCAATCAAGAACTTGTATAAATCCGGCTTACAATCTCGACTTAAAGCACTTTAAAAAAAACATATTTGTTTCAGCACGATGCATTCAAGTTAAATCCAGATTGCAGAAGATCATATTGTTAGTGTGTGAGACTGAAAGGATGGAATCAAATTTTCCGATCAAAACAACGCGGATAAAGGTGTCCGATCCATAAAAAATCACTGAGAGAGAATCAGGCTTGATTCTTATCTTAAAAGTCATGATCTCGTAAAAGGAAGTTTTAAGATATCAATTCCTCATTTTTTTTTTCGCTTTTTTTAAATCCTCCTACTTTTTCATCGTTTTTCCTTTGAAAGCAGACTCTCAGAGACAGTCGGTAGATATTTTATTAAACTGATAAAGGGGCTAAGTTTCTAAAGAAACCGTGGTGCTGCGTCATTCGCTCTGACGAAGGGCTAACGCTCGAAACGTCAGCTTTTAAACTCTTTACGGTGGTCAATTTACGTTTTCAACTCCGTTGATAACACTAAATTACCCTATTTTATCAAACTACCTGACTTTCCATTCTAAAAGGAAAAAAATACGATGAAGCTGCCCTTTCCTAAAATTGAGGATGTTTGGTAAATTTTTGGAGTAGACACAAAAAATGCCCTTACATTAAGTATTTACACCATTCCAAAAGACACCATAGTTACCAAGTTCTTACAAGGTTGGAGCCTTGGAGTGAACTGAACTACAATGTGTGGAAATTGCAAAGGCGTACCTATGGATTGAAGCGAGCGGGAGAAAATCTAATCGAAAGCCAGCTTCTACAAGAAAATAGGATCCTGTGGAAGTGCAGTTTAGCTGTCATATTCGTAACCACAAGAAGTAAGAATGTAAGTTTTGTGTCTCAACAATGACAAGGTCTAGTCAATTCTGCTAATAACCTGCCCTACTAAATTAAAGCTCCTTCAGATGACTTTTACACGAAAAGATTTCCGAATATTGTTTCGTCATTGTTTTCTTAGATGAAAGAACTGTATGCATAACAAAGTATGTCAGTTAATACGAAAACCTTGTCCTCTCTTCAGTATGATTGAATTACAGGTTTCTTCCAATTAAAAGTTAATTTTTTCATCATGTTAACAGATACATTCCTTATGATCTGTTGTATGACATACAGATAGATAACGTCACCATTAACGACATTTTACAAATAGATTCCATGTTGTCATGGGTTGACTTCAGAAATAGATCACAGATGACATCAAAATCTGGTAACACCTTGTTCTTACCACGTTTTAACATTGGTTAGAGGGGAGAATTGAACCGAATATATATTTGTAGCGAGCACAAATTAGTCATTCCTTCAATCCTCCATTTAATGTTTTTATCTCATGATCTTCCCTTGATAGTTATGTTTGTAAATAAATAAATAAATCCAATCCAACTTCCCACACAGCATGCAATATGCATGATTACAACATAATGATTACTATATGCCTGATTACAGCTGACTTTATAATTATTACAAAATTCATGGTTTGGTAAATACATTCATGATTATGTTCCAAATGCTGTTATTATATTAATGATCATAGATTCATGAAAATATGAACGAAGTCAATTAATATGTCATCCTGCAAAAGTTAATCTGGTCTTCCAATAGTAGGAGAACAATATGGGAAGATAGCACAGGCCTTGGAATAATCCTTAAAACACAACACACACAAAAAAAACGCCTGATGAGAATTCAGGTTAATGCAAGTTCAAAGCAAATTTTATTTGGTCAAATTGCTATGTTATTTCTTAACCCCAATAATCTTTCCTGTCCTAACCCTGTAAGCCCTAAGAGTGACTAGCATCTAATTTCTCCTTACAATATCACCCCTGAATCAAACATTAAGGTCATGAGAATGAATTAAATGATCACCAACTGAAGAAGCTCTACACTGAAAACCAAATTCTTATTGTGAGAACCTTAGGAAACATAGAGAACAGAATGGAGAATATGCATACTGATGTCAGGGTGTAAAGGGTTAATTTGTGTTTAACTCCTGAACTTTCCTATATCCTTTTGTTACCCATAGCAGTATGAAACAACTATCTGTATGTTTATTTGTATGTGTTGCTGTCAATAAAATGCAATTCTCAAATGTATGAATAATGCAAAGGTAATAATTATTTGAAGAAAATCATACAATTTGCAAATAAGCTGGTTTCTTCTTTAGAATTTTTAAGCATAATCAAAGGGGCAAAAGGAAAGAAAAGTTCCAAAACATTAGAAAACTGTACAAGTTTAAAATTAGCTAGAGGTGAGATGAAGAGAATATAGCAATTGCAAATTACCCATCCCCTCAATTGTTCATTTGATTTTTTAATCTAATCCTCCCTCTATAGTTAGCTAAGAAATCAACCCAAGAGCAGTATGCTCAAGCTGTACAATACAAAGTGATGTAATAATTATCTCAAAAATTATTGCCTAGTTGATTATTATGTTTTAAATGCTGTTTTTATATTAGTTGTCATAGACTGATGAACAGAATTTCAAGGTTCTAAATTCCTTTTCATTCTACAACAATTCTTTTTAGTTTACTGATGAATTTGAAAAGTTGCAGTTAATGATATTCCCATTAAGAGTCCATATTCATCTAGATTTGTAGCCTGAAAAAAATTCCTCATTCACTTTTCTTTCTTTCACTCTCAGGAACTAATGTTGTGGCATCCAAATCTAGTACAAGAAGAAAGAAATGTCAGCATACTGAGGGTCACCAGGTAGAAATTTTCTAGTTTAAGAGTGAAATTTGGGATAATGTGAAGACTTCCCAGTAGAACCTTGCATACTGGCTAAACAAGTGATTAGGACATTGAAACACAGAGGTTTTTGAGACATGAGCAGTGGCTGGAAATTAAAGAATTAAAGAAGACATCAGCTAGCAGACATTTTTTAATATTTTACTCCACATGTTGAAGACTAAAACTTTAAGAGTTATGTGGCAGAGTGTGAAAAGCTGAGTTCTGTAGAGTAAGAGGGTTAAAAGGTTAAACCAACGGCAAGGTCTCCAGTTGACTGATTGATGTCAAAGCATGGCAGAAGTAATCATATTTTGTTTGCAATCAGAGTACGCATCTCAAAATTGTTTGTGCTCAATACCCAACCTGCTGTCAATCATTGGTTAAGTTGTCAATTACCAAAGGTTTGTCACCAGAAATCTTTGATCCTTGGTTCAATAAAAAGTTATGTATACAGAAGCTTATTTCCTTATAGGTAATGCAATTAAGTCTAAAATACTATTATCAGGCAGTAGCTAAAACTGTGTTGTATTAGGGTCACCAATGATTTTGAAAACTTGCAATGGCAAAAACTTATCACATAACTTATACATTTACCTTCAATTGACAGAGGGGAGAATTTTTGCTGGTTAGTACCAACATTTAACAGATCTCCAGTGCTTGTTGCCAGTGTAGGATTAGTATAGGCTCCTTTACAATCAGTGCTGTCATCAGGCTTGGAAGATGATGGACTCTGCTTTGTGTTGGCCTCAGAAGAATTGTATGGGGAAGGTCCAATCAGGGAGAGCAATACAGGAAGATAGCAAAGGCCATGGAATAATCCATAAAATACAACACATAAAAACACCTGATGATTAATAAGAATTGGTAAGTACAAGTTTTAGGCTAAGGTTGGATGGCAAAAGTGCTATAGTGTATCTTTAATGATCACTGCTGTTCAATTCTGTGTTTAACTCCAAAAATGGTCTTTTGTTACCCACAGCAGTATGACTGAAGGTTATAGAAGAATTCTTACCCTGTGTTGGTTTTGCTTTACTTTGCTCTATGCCTATAAAACTTGTGCCACTTTTTAAACCAATCAGATGCAAACTGAAACCAATTGTGACTTGGTTGCTAGCATTTATTTTGTTGTGTAAGAAAGTTTGCTTGTTTTTGCTCCAAGGTATCATCAGCTACTTTTGATCTTTTTTGAATTTTGATTGCTAGACTCAGTTGAAAAGTGCTCTACTTGAAAGTTATTACTATGATATCTTACCTTAAAGAAAGTCATTGTCGGATAAGAATTGGAAAGCACCAGAGGGCCAACAGCTATGTATGTACTAAAACCACCATTCCAAACTGCAGGCCCCATGTCACGTAGGGTGGTCAGAGCTCGTTCTCAAAGAAAATAATTTAAGCATAAAAATTCTTAAAAATTACTGTTCGATGGACTAAGTCAGAGTCTACATTATTTTATAGGCATTAGACTTTAGGTAGCACAATATTGACTTAACCTATTGGAGGCTATGGGACACAGAAAAGCTGTTAATCAAGGTTCTAGCAGGATTTTCTTGTAGAGTCTAGAGTTTGAGACATGTAAGGTTTTTATTATGAGAAGTTATAACTTTTGTTGACAAGATAGTGGCTCACATGTGACCTAAGACACTTCTGCCTCCCTCTTTGGCTGTCATCATTTGATTGGCAAAATGAGACAAAATGAATATTGTCCTCTGTCAGTTTCAAGTTACACTCATAATTAACCAAAGTGAACCAAACTACCAAGATATTGACCAAATTTTTTCAGTAAAAAAAATTCACTGATGCTGTGGTCACAATAACAAAGTAATATGAATTACATTAATTATCAATCGTTTAACCATGTAACTCCTAAGATCTGTTTCTTAATTCTCCCCTTTGGCTGTTACACATTTCCTTGTAATTTAGTGAAGAGAAATTGGTGTTAGTTGGTAAGTTTGAGTATTCTCATCACTTGTTTCCTGGATAATACAGGAAGAAGGAACATGTTAACCACTTTCAAGAGTTAAAGGGTTATGCTGCATGGATCTCTTTTCCCAACTTACCCTTTCGTGTACCAGATCTTATCATGAAAGTGTGTCCAATGTGGGATGAGTAATCCACAGACAATCCAATGGCCAACACAACACAAATGGTAGTCACAATATCAATTGTCAGACCCCAAAAATGGATTGTTCCCATTATTCCAACCTGTTTTTTGAAAAGTAATGTTAAATGGCCAACGTGTTTTAAGTCCATTATGGTAAAAGAAAATAGTCATTGTCATCATCATTGTTAATATCAACATCAACATCAACTTCTGCTACTACAACCACTACTGCATGTTATATCTACACTTAAATACAATGACAATGTTGCTACATCATTAACATGACAATCTCTCTACATTATTAGCATGACAGTGTAGCTACATCATTAACATGACAATTTTGCTACATCATTAACATGACAATCTCTCTACATTATTAGCATGACAATGTAGCTACATCATTAACATGACAATGTTGCTACATCATTATCATGACAATGTTGCTACATTATTACCACGACACTATTGCTACATCATTACCATGACAATGTTGCTTCATCACTACCATGACAATGTTGCTACATCATTAGCATGACAATGTTGCTACATCATTAACATGACAATTTTACAACTCAAGTCAATTGAGTCAGTGTTACACGCACCAACGTAAATCCAACACAGGAAAAGACTAAAAAGCATGTCCTCAAGCTTGGTAGCACAACAGCAGTAGCCACCAATACTGTTAAAAGTGCCAGGCCCGTGTTTCGGTAAAGCTCCGTTGAAATAATCTAAATAAATGAAATCAAATTACTTTGCTTATACTCTTAACTACTGGCAAGCAAGTTTACACAGGCATGTACCCCTGCAATTGTTCAGGAGTACAAGATGATTGAAGAATGAATTTCAAAACAGCGATCGATGTTGCCATGACAATTAATGAAGCATTTGCCATAGAATTTAACAACAATGTCAATCAAGGCTTTCCTGATAAAGGGCTATTCATGATATAAAAGTGATAAGTCAATTTGACTGCCTACTTGTGTTCATGAACCTAGGCAAAAGAATTGAAGAAGTCACATTTTGAGAAATGTTAAACCCAAACTGTCGTGAGTCTTCACTGAATCATATCATGGTTATGTGCGTGAGAAAATGTCTTATTTCACAGAAAAAAAGGGGAGTTGCTGTGGCTAGTAATAACTTA